TTTGACTAATCATGAATCTATTTATCTTAGTTAATTATAAAATTTGTACAACAATCTTAAAACAGATTATACTTTTTCCACGAAACTGGTTAAATAGATTCATATAGTATTTTAGAAAAACACAGTTTATATATTGGCCCCACTGGTTTTTTTTATATGAGATAATAAAAATACTTATGCATGCTACTGATTTCCCAACCACCGAAACCATTATTTGATATATATGCAAATTGCATGCTTCGAGATTCAATTGATTTATTTGAATAGGCTATTGTTTCAATTTATTTAAATTCATATAGATATTTGCATGCTACTGTTTTCCTCTTGATTGTCTACTGTTGCATACATCAAAATTCATGATTAGGAATTTCTTTAATTTGCATGTAAGCTACTGTTTCATACATGTTGGTTATATTTAAATTATTATAATTTGCATTTTAATAATTGCATGTGGTGAACTAATGCTTGTATTAAAATAAAAACTTGTAGCCCACTGTCTAATTGTTTGATTAAACCTTCACTGTTTCTTATGTAATTTAATATATGCATTGGTATGTTCTAATTGTTCAATTTAATTAGAATATGTTTATTTCTAGATCTTTGGTAAAAGATTTATTTTATTAAGGAAATTAAACCAACAACATTTGTTTCCCACTGTTTTGTCTTTCCTACCATAGTGTACATATTTAATTTGACATACTTGTCTAGTATAATGCTTATTATTTTCCATAAATGTAATATAATTTGCATGCTACTTACTTTCTAATTTCTAGAATTATGTGCATGAATTAGTTACATGTTTGTTGTGTAGTAATTGCATATAATTCTTACTAATTCATTTTAATTTAATTCTTAGAGTTATAGTTTTATTTTGTAACTCTTACCAGTTAAAGTGTTAATTGTATATTTATTTAAATGGTTATTGTGTTATAATTTCATATAACTCGTGTCAATGAATTTTATTTAATTTTTAGAGTTACAAGGTTTGTAATTTATTTGGAGTTATAAGTTACATCGTATAACTTATCTAGCATTTTAATTTTATTTAATTTTGCTATTTAATTAATTTATTATTTTTTCAGTTTCATTCAATTATTTGTTTTGTATTTTGTTGTGGTTTGCTACTAACTTTCTTTGTAGGCATACCTATGTGAAGGGGAATGGAAACAATACAAATCCAAATTAATAGAATTTGGGAGTGCAAGGAAAAAAATTTTGGACTACTAACCTCTTCGTTGAACAGAAATACCTAATTTCACTACAACAAATTTGGAATTTAAAGACGAAACAAATTTGCCCCAAAATGTATATATTTCATCACCCAAACTAATTATGACGAACATTTTTTGTCAACCGTTTTGTCACCAAAGGGTCGTTCTTAAAGGGTCTTAGAGACGGAAAAAAAAAAAATTGTCATTGAAAATGATAAATTTGTGACGAATTTTTTTTTCTCCAATACACTTTGTTGGGAACATACTTGTAAGTAATTAGCGACAAAATATTTTGTCATTAAAGGAGAAATTAGAGACAGAAGTATTTCGTCATACATATAAGAAATAGAAACGAAATAATTTTGTCACGTTTAATATAAACGAAGACGAAAATTTTTTGTCAAAAAAGCTACCAATAGAGACAAAAACAAATTCATCATTAAAAACGATAAATTTGTGACGAATTTTTTTGTCTCCAATACACTCTGTTGAGAACATACTTGTAAGTAATTAGCGACAATATATTTTGCCATTAAAGGAAGAAATTAGAGACAAAAGTATTTTGTCATAAATACAAGAAATAGAGACGAAATAATATTGTCACGTTTAATATAAACGAAGACAAAAAAAATTTGTCAAAGAAGTTACCAATAGAGACAAAAACAAATTCATCATTAAAAATGATAAATTTGTGGCGAATTTTTTTGTCTCCAATACACTCTGTTGGAAACATACTTGTAAGTAATTAGCGACAAAATATTTTGTCATTAAGGGAAAAATTAAAGACAAAATTATTTTGTCATAAATATAAGAAATGGAGACAAAATAATTTTGTCATGTTTAATATAAACAAAAACGAAATTTTTTTGTCAAAGAAGCTACCAATAGAGACAAAAACAAATTCATCATTAAAAATGATGAAATAATGTCAAAAAAAATTCGTCACACATTGAGGGTAATAGTGACAAAATGTGACAATATTTTTTGTCATGACAAATTCATTTAGCGACGAAATAAAAAATTCATGACAAAATTAATCATCCACCTAAGCCAAATAAGAGACAAAAAAACCTTCTCTAGGGATGGAAAATTTTGTCAGTAATTCCATAATATTTTTTTCCACATTATATACCTATTTTATCAAAATCTAAATTTTAGTTCAACAAATATGACCCTGTTCATGTTGAAACCTGTTGAATATAACAATTCCATCATAACTTAACCTAACCTGTTATCAACACATTTACGAATTAACAAAATGAAAATATCCATTCATCATTACAAATAATTTCATCCTAATACAATAAAATAGTGAAATATCCACAAAATATCCAAAAGTTATAACTTGTTCAATTCCACCAAAAATTCAACAATAACTAGTGCAACTCCAAAAAGTATGTGTATCTTTATCAAACAAAAATGAACATTCAAGCAAATTACATCATTGTTGCACATCAAAAATGCCACCCCAATCCATTCTGTAAAAAAATAAATTAAAAGTTTTAGTAATTAATCAATTATACAAAAGATTAAAAACATTAGTAACTCATCAATTTACAATTAGATCAATTATACAATTTATTCTTGTAACAGACTTTTTTTGAGATTATGAGAACAAAAAATTAATTTTAAGGCTAATTCACAAATGGAGCATCCCATTAATGTGTCGTAAGTTCATACAACTTATATTGGTCCCTCCTAAGGTGTTTCTATTGGTTCCTGTACAAATCTGTAGTTGTGTGATAATTTAGCATTTCGACGACCTTTTTTTAAGCTTTAAGTATAGAGAAAAAAATATATTTTTTAGACTAATTCACAATTTATACATCCTGTGCACCTGTACAAATTGGATGTCATATGCATGTTTCCATTACTTCCTAATTCTTCAAACATGTATTCTTTTATAAAATTTGTTATATTAAAGTTAATATACTTTACCAAGAAATATGTCCACTTGTGGATGAGTTCCTTCCACTTCCAAAGTGTCCAGTGAATCCTTTGGTCCTCAAAAAGTTGACAACATCAACCATTATCTCCCCTTGCTTCTTCTTACCCTCTTCAAGATCTTCTATTTTATTGTTCTGCATTTGTATTTGCTCATTCTGTGTCTCTATTTGCATCTCAAGGCGCTTCACATAATCATTTGTTTCAGCATATATGGTAGTGGTCCTCCTAATAGAGGATGAAGGTCTCATGCCAAGTCCCTTCACATAGCCAGACCTTGGCTTTAGGACTTTGATTGATAGCTCTTCAGCAGTCAAAGGGGTTGATCCCGACTATGAGAGGTGATCAGCCTGTGTCTGTATCATATTTTCCTATCAAATATAAAAAAAATTAAATAATTATTAGAAAATTAGATAAGATTATAACAAATAGTATTCTAAATTTTTGTTAATAAAAATTGCAATACATACTCACATAATTACACTGAGCTTGAGATGAGATCGACTCATGTGTTTTCTCATTATAGTGAGTTTCCTTGTACAACTCTGCTAGATCAGGTAGCATCTTCTTTTCTCGTGCCTAATTCGATAGACCAAATATTCAATAAATAAAGCTAAGAATCTAATATAATTCTGAAAGTGCAAGGATACGTACCAGTTTTTCTACTCTAACAGGGATTGACCTAGAACCACACCTATGTTTTGTATACATCCTTTCTCTGTTCGCGATGTTGGCCTTTGATTGTTCCTATAAGAAAGAATGACCAATATAATAATGAAATGTATCATTAGTAAGACAAATATGTTGGCTTTTGATTGTTCCTGTAAGGAATAATGAACCAATATAACAATGAAATGTATCACTAGTAAAACAAATTTAATGCTTGATAATACAGAAATTGCATTGTTCCTCTCTATCATTTTCCTATGTATCATTTCAACTTAAAAGATATTTCAAATTATTCACTGGTTTCATTCAATTCTTTGAAAAATATATTAGAGGACTTGTTGAGATTTCATCATAAGATGGTTTTTCTGGATGAAAAAAGAAAAATGAGTAATTTACACTGTTCACAAATAGGGGGCATATAAGCATGGGCAAGATAGATTGTGAAAAAATCCATTTACATTTCACAAGATATGAAACAATTACTGATACCAAACTCATAACCCTTTCTTTCTTCCACAACTCTATCAAATCTAAAGTTCTGTCTCAATACCCTATATTAGTTACTTAGCTAGTTGCTTACCATTATCATGTAACTTCAAACCAAACCCAAGAACAAACAGAAAAAAATTAATATAATCATAGAAACTGAAATCTTAATTCTTTATTCTATGATGTGAAAGATGCACTTTAAGGAACCATAAATTAATCTCCTATTATGCGAGCCTTCCAATCCATGTTTAATAATTTCCCTTTCCCATTTTCCCACTTATTTGGTCTTTATTATGTTCCACTTACATGCCTAGAAGATAAAGGGAAAAGAATACGTATGGAATTTCACAGCAAATTGATTGTGTTCTTTCTAGTTTTTTTAGAATCTCTCCCTATTCTAATCAAATTCTTTCTTCGTTGATATAATAAAAAAGATGAAAATGTTACTAGAAATTCTTTAGTGTTCCATTTTTTATCAATAAGATCTATCCACTTGGTAGGATCAACATTCTTCGGTGGGTGGTTTCTTGCATACTCCTCTCCTTTAGCCTCTTTCAGCTCCATGAATTTTTTGTGCAGCCTATAGGTATGGTTACACAATCTTCGACCAAATTTTATGTTCATTGCCTTCTCTATATCAACAGGGTCTCCTTGTAAATCAAATTGATCCTGCTAAAAATAGATAAGTCATAGATAATTCTAATAAAAAATAAAATAATTACAATAAATAATTAAGATTTCTAACCTATTATAAAAATGAGTAAAATGTCCTATAATAGAGTAGACAACGAACTTACATTCAAGCGTTGAAACATCGCCTCCTTAACAGAGGCATCAACATGCTTCCACCTACGAACACTTGGATCTGGTAAACAAGTTCGCACTTCTACACCAATCTTTGAGGATAGTTTTGAGGCATAGTCCCCTACCGGTGCATGAAATTCTGGAGGGATAGGCACGCTAAGCTTTCCATCTCTATCAACAAGGCCTTGAACCTCTTTGCCTTGAGTCGGGCCACGAGCTTGCTTAGCAGCTGATATTGTGAAGCCATAACATTGAAATAGTATGTGAACAAATTTAATTAAGATTTCAAATCAATGTAAATAAAGAGTGTGTCTTACCGATAGTATTACCAGCAGTCACCTCAAGTTGAGGCTTCACATTGAGAGGTGGTGGCGGATGGCTAGCCACCTCTGGACGTGAAGAGGTATCCCCCTCTTCTAATGCGTGGGTCAATGCCTCATGATGAGATTGTGAACGGGCTCTCGATGGTATCTCTAACAGCTGAATAACATAATAAAATATGAATATATGTAGAAAGATATACATGTCTATGTGTGTATGAATTGAAAGTAACAAGAAAGAATATATTTCATAATGCATAAATGTATAGTACCTCATGCTCAAACGAATCATAGGATTCAGTGTCACTGCCATCTTCAGCCTCTGACGGTCGATAATCATCGTCATTTTCCTCAATTGGTATTTGTTTTTCCTTCCTCAATTTCTTATGTTGAACCACAGCCTTCAAACAAGTTGTTATATTCTTCACTCCTAGAGCATTCATTCTCTCACGGTTTTTATTAATATTCTTCATTCTTTGTTTCTCATAGCTCGTTACCTTCTTAGTTGCGGTACTTGGTTTGGTCAATTGCTTTTTTGTAGCGTCCATTTTGCCCAACTATAAAGCATAATTGAACATTTTTTTGGTGGATACGCATAATTGAACATTAGATGTAAAGAAAAGATAATTATATATTTCTATACATAAAGCATAAAGCAACAACAACAATCTCAACAAGTGGATATGTCATATAGGCTCTAAATCATTGAAATATGTCTAGAGTGAGATGGATGATTTTTGTTTTTACCATTTACTTATCATAGAACAAATTAATTATAAAGCCATCAGACACATAATATGACCAATCAATGATAAACCTACATAACAATGGATGAACCCCACAACTGAAATTCAACTACATTAATTAAGAACAATGTTCATATAAAAAGTGCAAAATAACGACAAATCCTAGTCTACATCAAGATCCATATCGTAATCCACATCAGGTTTGTCACACTCTTCATTTTGTTTGTCAGCTCTATTCTCTATCATTGTTTCATCAGATGACCTAACCCTTGTAACAACTTCTGCTTCAACACCATCTCTATAACATTGAACATTAGGGTTGATGTCAATTGGAACAACATCGGTAATATTTTCTTGTTGGAACACATTGTTTTCTTCTGGTTCATCAAACGATTCTCCATCACCTACCTCTGGTACATCAAAGACACCGCTATGTTGCACTCGTTGAACAACTTGCCAAGGTTGTCCCTATTTGGTATCATTTAGGTAAAAGACTTGCTTAGCCTGGCTAGGCAAGATGAAATGGTCGTGTTGATACCACCAACTTATGACATCAATACTTATGCAATAATCATCGGTTCGCAATGTTCTACTTCGACCTGTGTTTCCTGTGTTGTACCATTCACACTGGAACAATACAACTTTATTAGGACACATGCACTCCAATTCCCAAACATTGCACAAGTGACCATAAAATTCATGCGTCACTCCCTCACGATCCCCTTCCGTAAGCACACCACTATTCTGACTCTTACAGCAATGGTCTACTTGTCTTGTAAGAAACCGTACGCCATTGATTATGCAACCTGAGTACTCTTTTACTAGCAAATTCGAGCCATTTGCTAACGACCATAAATCATTGGTTGCCTCTGGTGACTTTTCTTCTCTCAATATATTTATCTACAATCACATATAACGTACATCAAGATAGTATAAATTAATAAATGATCAAATCTTATACAAATTTTTAATCATGTCTTAAAATTGAAAATGCCTTACCTAGTTTTTGAACCACTTGGGAAACTCTTGTTGTTGTATACGGGTTATGCCTTGGTCAGATGACGTTCGTAATAGATTTTTGTGTATCCTACTCAAAAGAATGTGATTATTATGCACTGCCAACTACATTAACAAAGCTAAGAATACACATATTTAAATGAAAAACATACTCTAGATACTTCTCTATTTCTAGGCTATTGTTCAACAAGAACCAATGAGCCATATCACGATATTCTTGTGACATATCAGCATCCCTTGTGATTAGGCCAATAGGACGGCAGTTTCTGTGAATACAGTCAACCCTTTGCGACGTTCGCCACGATCTTGATTTTGTTCGGGTCGATTGTGCACTGTTTCAATCCCATCAACATACATTGAACAAAAAGTAATGCACTCTTTGACAATGTAAGCCTCTGTGATTGAACTTTCTGGTCGAGCTCGGTTTGTAACAAACTTTTTTAAAGCTCTGAGAAAACTTGAAAAGAGAATTAGTTAAGAGCAAGGTTACACATGCAACATATAATTACGAACCTTTCAATTTAACAATTACCTTTCAATTCGGTACATCCATCGATATTACACCGGTCCTCCAAGAATAGCCTCACGCGACAAGTGAACGGCCAAGTGAACCATCACATCAAAGAAGGCTGGAGGAAAGATCTTTTCAAGCTTGCATAATATGTGTACTATATGTTCCTCTAATTTCTCAAGTTCATTACGGCGCAGTGTCCTTGAGCACAAATCCTGGAAAAAGTTACCTAACTCAAATAGTGTTTTACTAATCTCTTTTTCTACGTAACCACGCATCCCAATTGGAAGAATCCGTTGTGTGAGTACATGGTAGTCATGACTTTTCAAGCCTGTTAATTTACCATTTCTCGCATTCACTGATCTTGATATGTTTGCAGCATAGCCATCTGGATACTTCACTGATTTCAAGAATTCAAAGAAACCCTCCCCCTCTTCAGGGGTCAATGAAAAGATTGCCCTAGGTTTGACATAAGTTCCATCAGGACGACGTGTTAACCACAACTCTTTCCTTATACCCATATCTTCCAAGTTCATCCGTGCTTTGTCGGTGTCTTTGTTCTTTCCATCAATGCCTACCATAGTTTCAAAGGTATTTTCACTAAAATTCTTCTCGACGTGCATGACATCAATGTTGTGTCGAAGCTTCCGTTTCTTCCAGTATGGTAACTTATACAAGATGCTTACCTTTGTCCAATTTGGTGCTTGACGGAGTCTTTTCTTGTTTCTTGGATGCTTCCCATATGTGACACTTGTCACTCTGTCCAATTGCTCTAATATCTTTTCCACTGGTAACTCTAAAGATCTCTTTTGCTTCTCATGCTTACCATTGTAAGCCTTACTTTTTCGCCTTTCGGGGTGGTTTTGAGGCAAGTAGCATCGATGGTTAGTGTATGCAGTCTTACCTTTCAAGGATTGAAAATATGGTTCATTATTGCAAGTGTAGCAAGAATAATGACCCTTTGTTCTCCACCTAGATATGTCACCAAATGCGGGCCAATCATGTATAGTCCACATCAAAGCTGCACGCATCTGCAAAGACTCACCAGTTACGGCATCATAAGATAATGCACCATTTTTCCACAACTCATTCAATTCATCCGCTAGAGGTCTCATGTAGACATCAATATCGATCCCTATGTAGACACCCCATTTTTGACTGACCTTAAGACTTAGACGTCATCGATTGAGCGCTCGGTGATGGTGCATGTTGTGCTTGTTCTGAGATTTCGGAGTTTCGGCTGAGAGCTTTACCTCCGGACGTCGGGACTCTTTTATGCTTTGCCTCGGTTTGCGAACCAAGTTCTATTTTCTCTTCCCGAAGGGAGGGAGAGGTCTCGTAGACCATCTCTCAGTGGTCGTAGGCTACGTTTCGTGGTCGTAGGCCACTGTTCCCGTTTGGAGACCAATTTCTGATTTTCGGAGCCGTCAGTCGTGCGCCTTGGTCCGGGACCGCTTAACTTTCTCTGTTTGCTCCGATTTTTGGCACACACCTTGTTTCCTCTCTCTAGAGGGACACTGTGGCCCGGGAGACCACAGACCACCTTCGTGGTCGCACGCCACTTTCGATGCTTAACAGTCAGTTTTCGGGGCACCCGGTTGCGCGTTTTGGCCCCCGAACCCTCGTTTTGCATCCGCCTTGGTTCATTTTTGGTATGGACCCTATTTTCATTGTTTGGAAGGTGGTACAGGGGTGGGAGACCACATTTTCTCCTTGGAGACCACTTTTCTCCCGCCGGCCGATTTTCTTGTCAGGTAGCTGGTCTTCCTCACTTTTGGGCCACAATTGCTGGTCTCCCACCACACCACTAGCTTGCATTCAATTGGGAGACCACCAATTAGGGCTGCCGACCACCTTTCTTCAACTTGGACCTTTTGAACTGGTCGGCTGACCAAGGGGAGTGGTCGGCCGACCCCCTGAACTGGTCGGCCTGCCTCCTCCTGTCTTGTCCTTGTGAGTTGTTGCCAGCTGTGCCAGTTGGAAGGCACAGAATTGATCTTCCATACACGTGTATGGAGGATCTTCAAACTTGGTTTTTGGCTTCTTGAAGAAGATTTGGACATCTTTGGCTATAAAAGAGACCCTCTCCCTCATTAGCAAAGGTTCAGAATTTTTGGTCTAAGGCATATATACCTCTCTCTCTATATCTCTACATTCAAGATCAAAAAGGGCCTTATTCTTGCACCATTGCAAATCAACCCTTAGCCTAACACCTCCAACACCAACCTAAGCTTCTTGGAGGTCATTTGCAGAGTTTAAAGGCTAAGTTTTTGGTCCAGAGGTTGCCGGCCTTGCTGAGCTACAAGGGTAACACACTAGTTCCCTCTTTTTAACAATGTTTTGATCCTTATTTTAGCTATACTTGCAAGCATATTTGGGCTTTTCCATAAATTGAAAAAAGTCTTATTTTGAGGTCTTTAACATGTTTTTTTAAGACCATTGTTCTGTTGGGGGTCGTCTATCCCCTCTGCATGCTTCATTTCATCTTATTTTGAGCCATGCCTTAGGGCCTTTGCATTGACCCTTGTTTGGTTTCATATCCACTGAAATCTAGTGGATTTTTAGTGGCTAGCATGCTGTTTTGAGCACCAAAATCAGAGAGGGGTGACCCTCTCACCCCTTGTCTTGTTTACTAGCATATTTGGCCTAACAAAGGAGCCCTTATTTGCATGCTTCCAAGCCATGTTTCAGGACATTTTTGGTGGGTTTTAGGACCTGCATAGGCTCTCACCAGAGCCCATTTTTCCATTTTGGGTGTCCATCTTGCATGTGTAGAACAACCCTCTTTATAGCCTATCAAAGGCGCCTATCATTCTTGCATTCGTAGACCATATTTCAGTGGGTTTTTGAACTTTATTTGGCATGTCATACCTCTAAATTTTGCTGGTTTGGTGGCCTCTTGATTGCCTCACATGCTTGTAGTGCAAATCTTCTTTACTAGCTTACATTGCATGCTATTTTGGCCTTTGATCCTAGCACTTTTTCGCCATGCCTTAAATTGATTTTATGCATGTTTTGGACTGCCTTAGCTTTGTTTTTATGCCTCATGGTCGAATGATGCTTGCTATGCATGGTTGTAGTTCAATACCCTTGCCTAGCTTTGAGTTTCGGAGCCTATTGCATTCTTATGTTGAGGTGTTTTCATGTTTTGGGGCCATTGTGCATCATATTTCAGAGCTTACATGTATGCCATATTCCCATGTTTTCCACTCTTTAAATGCGTTTGAGAGTTGTTCATAAATACCTCATTTTTTGGACCATTACATGAGCTTCATTTCTATGCATTTTGAGCCATCATTTTAGACCATTTTCCCACTGTCTTAGACCTACCTAGGGTCTGTTTGGGGCTGGTTTTTCCATTTGTGCATTGCTTTGTGTACCCTTA